TCCCTGGTCCAGAACAAAATTTCAGTGGCAAATCTGGGAAAACTTCTTAAGATGGGTGTAGGTGGACTTTTCTGTCCCCCCAGCTGCTCCCCAATAACCACACAGAGATGTATTAATTATAAGTACTCAGCTGATGGCATAAGCTTGTGTTTTATCTAGCTCTTTTGTTTGTTTGTTTTTTGTTTTTTTTTGAGACAGGGTTTCTTTGTGGCTTTGGAGGCCGTCCTGGAACTAGTTAGCTAGCTCTTATTACTTAAATTAATCCATTTCTGTTAATCTATGTGTTGCCCCCAGGCTCATTTACCTCATGGACATACTTCTCATCACTCTGCATCTCAGAGCATCTCCTCAGACTCCTTCCTTCTTCTTCCTAGCCTCCTCCTAGTCTGACTCTCCTGCCCAGCTACAGGCCAGTCAACTCTTTATTAACCAATGAAAATAATAGATATTTACAGTGTACAAAGATTGTTCAACAGCAGGTGGGGTCTGTTCTGGCTAGGTTTATGTCAGCTCAACACGGCTAGAGTCATTTGGGAAGAGGAAGAAAATGAGAAACTGAGAGAATGCCCCCACCAGACTGACCTGAGAGCAAGCCAGTGGGGCATTTTCTTAATTAACAATTGACAGGGGAAGGCCCAGTCTACTGCGGGTGGTACCACCCCAGGGCAGGTGGTCCTGGGGTTTATAAGAAAGCAGGCTGAGCGAAGTCAGTAAGCAGAGTTCCTCCCATAGCCTCTGCCTTCAGTCCTTGCCTCCAGGTTTTTGCATTGAGCTCCTGTCTTGACTTCCCTAGATGATGAACTGCAAGCTGCAAGATAGAATGAGCCCTTTCCTCGCCAAGTTGTTCTGGTCACGGTGTTTTGTCACAGCAATAACAACCTAAGAGAAGCTCAGATGGTCTGTGTTCAGGTGGGATTTCTGGCAAGTCTCTTCCTGGTGACACCATCAGAGGCACACAGCACATAGCTTTGGCAATACTACTGACAGTAACAGTTGTTATATAACACAGCTGTTTTAATTGAATGATTTTCCGAGTGCCAAGCATCAAACCCAGGGCCTTACACGCTGCAGATTGTGTTCAGTAACTGAGCTGCAACCTATTCCCATAATTTTATTTTTGATTTTTAGCTGGATTATTATGAAGAGGAGGCATCACCTACAAGTCTGTGGTTATCTTTAGGTGCGGTTCATGTAGAAGGGAAGATCCAGTTGTCACTCGTTATTTTAAAAATTCTTCACGAGTCCCGTGATGCTGCAATACTGGGCTTTATGCATTCAGGTTTTGAACACGCCAGATCTGTTTCAATCAACTGCTTCCGTTTTTCTTGAAGATAGTCTGTGGCTCTTCTTTTGGCACAGACGTTGTTGTTATGTGGCATCACGGTGTCTGTTTTTCTGTCCATCTTCTGGTTTTCCTCCCACTTGAGCACCAGGAGCACAGGTCAGAAACTGTTTATGTACACTACTCAGCTCTCCAGTGCTGTTTCTAGGAGTACTTGAGAGACTGATTCCCTCCTTAGGGTCAGATTCTGGCTCTGTGTCTCCGGCCGCTGGTGCTAACTAGATGTGGATGCCACACCCTTTCCCTGTGAGTTCTCACCGTGTGCAGCACTGTAAACACTTCTGTGCTGTTAGGGTTAGGGTTTTATGGTAGCAACGCATCACAGACAAGGTCAAGTTACCAAGCACTTCTGCCCCTCCAGGCCTCCTGGCTTTATCAGGCTGGACAGGGCTGTCTTTTTAGATCATCCCACTGCTGGAAGCCTTCTGGATGCCCCTAGAATACCGGGCTACCTGAGTAGTGGGAACAGTGATACCTGCTTGGTGGACCTCCCAGATCTCTGTCTTCTCTCCTTTCTTCCCCAGCAGTGGCAATTTCCCTGAAGGACTAGCAATGCTAAGATGACAGTTTTGAAGCGCTGTACAGATCAGAGTTCTTATCTGGGGTGGTCTATTGGCTTCCCCCAAGGCTTCCCCGACTATTCCTGCTTTCTCTAGGCCCACAATCTGATTGTCTGGCATGTCTGTAAACTGATATTTGACTTATTCTGTTCAGTGTCTTAGTTGTTTGGGTGGGAGGGTCACACAGCCTTTGTATACTCATGCCTATTTTGCAGACAGGGCTAGAGCTGGGCCTACATTTTCCATGATTTCAGCCACTGTAGGGGACACAGCTCCACTAGGGACTTGAGGTGCAGGTGCCTAGTGTGCCCAGAGGCATCAAGGAGAGCCACAGAATTTGTGAATGAACACAAGGACAATGTCCCAAGGGAGTAGGAACCAGCTACAAGACAGGACCTGGGAGGAGTTGTACTCTTTTCTCTGTGCAATTTTTCTGACTAGCACACTCAAGAGCTAATGGGATCCTCTCAGGGCAGCTAGGAGGAAGACATCTCTCCAGGAGAACACAGCAAAGTCAAATACTGCAGGGGTCACTGGTAACAGGCCTTGGATTTAGTTCCAAAATGTTCTGGACAAGAAGCATTTGTTGAAAAGCAAGGCAAAGCCTGACAGGGTTAAGAGAGAACTTGCATAGACACATGGAGTCATGGGGTTGGAGAGATGGCTCAGCAGTTAAGAGCACTAGCTGTTCTTCCAAAGGATCTGCATTTGATCCCACATGACCACTAACTACTGTCTATAACTCCAGTTTTAGGGATCCAATACTCTATTTTGGTCTCCAAAGGAACTGTAGCACAAGTTCTAATACGTCATAATAATAATAATAATAATAATAATAACAACAACAGAGTCAGATACTGACGGGATAAACGCTGAAAGATCAGAGGAGTAAAGGAGTCAGCCACAAGAGAGAGAGAGACCTCTTATCTCTACTGAATTCTCAGACCAAAGGGACGATCCTGTCCCTACAAATCCACAGACTGAATGCCATGAGCATCTGCCTCCTCCTCCTGCCTTATATTCCTCTTTCTGCCCAGCTGTATTATTCCTGTCTCCACTTCCCTTGTGCTGGTATTAAAGGTGTGTGATCCCAAGTGCTAGGATCCCCTTTGCGTGAGCCCTGTTTCTTTTTGAGAATGAATTGCTTTCGTGTAGTTCAGGGTAGCCTTGAACTCACAGAGATCCGTCTGCCTCTGTCTCCCAAGGGATGGGATTAAAGGTGTGCACCACCACTGCCTGGCCTCTATGGCTAACTAGTGGCTTAGCTCCAAACTCTGATCTTCAGGCAAGCTTTTGTTTGTTAGATCACAAGCAAAATATCACCACAGGGAACTGCACACATGTGGTACACAGACATGCATGCAGGAAAACACACACATACATACATACATGCATACATACATGCATACATACATACATATAAAACAATCTTTTAGAACCTTTTAAAAAAAGAAGCATGAGGTCAGTTCATTCTTTTCTCCCATTAGCCCCACTGGGAGTTTGTAGGTGGTGAGAAGACCATCAAAAAGAAAACTCATCACAGAGGATGGACCACATACCCCAGAGAGGCTAGGCAGAGACAGAAATCAGGAGGGAAGTGTTCCCTTCCCTGCCATCCAAACTGAGTGCCATAATTTTGGATTCCTTCACTTGCTTGGCTGAACCCATACATGTACCATTGAACTTAGTATATTACTAAATCAAGACAGTCACGTGATTTCAGGTCTCTTTAAGCTGCCACAATACCCTAACCCACTGGTTTCTGCTTTGGGTAAAGCCTTGGAGTGTTTTGAGCAGGGAACACGTCCCAACTAATGCTTTATGAAAGCCACTATTTTGTGCTGAAAATGGATCAGGGAGCAAGGACAGATACAAGGAGACTAGTTGGAAGCTAGTCACTAACCTAGGGATACAGGGTGAGGATGGGGGAAGGGACATTTGGCTGGATTCTGATGGGTCACAGCTAGAGTTCCTGAGACATCCCTGATGGCTAGACACAGAAACAAGGTGTGGACCCTAGACCTAGAATGACATCTGAATATGGTCTTACCTAAGGCATGAAAAAGCCCACCAGCAGACAGGTGGTTTTGGCGTCTGTCTGTCAAGTTAGATGACTTCCTGGAATCTGTGCCCTAATCCCAGGGCTGCTCAACAGTACCTCTTTGCTATTTCTAATACCAACACCATATCCTCCATTACTCTGGGTCTGTCTCTCAACTCTCTCCCTCATCAATAGCCTCTCTGTGATTGCAAAGGTCGGTCAGATTTCTGTAGAGCATACCTGCCTTGTTCCCGCGGAGCCTTACCTCCAAAGAACCATCCATACGACGGTAGCAGGACTTTCGACCTCACTGCACACATGCACTAACTGGATTCCTTTCAAGGACGATCCCCCGCCCCTTCTAACTCCATCCTTGTCCCACTGACTGTCTAACATACCGCGCTGTCACAACTACCTTGTTCCCTAAGAATAGCCTTCCAGCGGGATGTGGTAGCCTTGAATCCCAGCACCCATCTTTGAGTTCGAGGCCAGCCTGGTTTACAAAGTGAGTCCCAGGACACCCAGGGCTGTTACACAGAGAAACCCTGTCTTGAAGAAGAAAGAAAAAAAAAAGAACAGACTTCCTTTTCTCTGTTTTCTGCCCACTCCCAGTTATGGTGACCGCCGATCACTACGCACAGACGAGCTGTATAGGTTTCCACGGTTCGAAAGTCGAGCAGAAGAAGGGTTTCTGTCCGTGTACACAGAATTCTGCGCACCTGGCTGATTCCTAGACAGGACAGGAATGTAAGAGGAAACCCGTCGTCCGGGTGCTCCGGTTAAGTTCCCGACCCAGACCGTCGCCTGTCAGAAGCGTCCTGCTGTCCGGCAGACGCCGTTTCACTAGACTGTGGCCTCCGACCACGCCTTCTGACCCACCTCTCACCCTGCGGCCACGCCCTTGTGCTCCACCCCGCCTGTCTGGTCGTGCCAGCTTCCTGAGGCGAGCGCGGCCAGCACGCGCCTGCGCCCTCTGGCCCCGCCTGGACCCCACCCCTGTAGGCTCCGCCCTCCAGAGGCCCCGCCTCCTCCCGTTCGCGAGGTGGGAGCCGAGCCGCACACTGCGCATGCTCCAACCGCGGCGCCCCCGACACCGCACTCGGCTGGGTTCGGGCATTTCCGCCTCTTTGTTTTAAACTCCGCACGGCTTTTTTCTCCTCCTCTTGGGGGGGACCCAGAGGGAGCGGCGCCCCCTCCCCCTCCCGGCGAGCCCCCGCGTGCGCCCGCTCGCCCGCCGCCCGAGACGCAGGTCAGTGAGCCCGCCCCGCCCGGCCTGGCCCGCGCGCCCGCTCCTCGGCCGCGGCCTCGGCCCTTGGTCGGCTGAAGGCTGCGAGCCCAGCGCCCTCGGCAGGCCCGGGAGGCGGGACCCTAAAAGCCTGCCAGAAGGCCAGGACTTGGGAGGTCTGGACCCTGGGAGGGCAGAACCCTGGGCTATTCTGGATTCTGTATCCCGGAACTACCTGGACCCCGGGAGGACAGTAACCCGGACCAGGCAGAACCGTGGGAAGACAAGAGCCTGCACCAGGCTGGACCCTGGACCAGGCTGGACCAGGGGTGGGTAGAATCCTAGAGCAGACAGAACACCGAGCCAGGCTGGATTCCAAGCAGACGGGACCCCGAGAGAGCAGAACCTAGGGAAGACGAGGATCCCAGACGGGTTGGACCAAGCACCAGGCAGGATTCCAGAGAACAGGACCCCGGAAGAACAGGAGTCTGGATCATGCTGGATCCAGGGAGATCAGAACCTCAGACCAGACGGGACCCAGAGCAGGCCAGAAATACTGGGACTGGGCAGATCCCTTCTGAGGACAAGTGGAGACCCGACCCTTGGGTTGGTCACTGGGGGAGGGTCACTACTAGAGACCCGACCAGATTCAAGAAAGGTCATTGAGGAAGACTGCATCTCAGGACCCGACAGGACCTAGAAAATGCCAGGATCTCTGAGATGGTCCAACTCAAGATAGATTACAGAGGAGGGTTAAGACCCTGAGACCACCCCCACGGAGGGCCGGGACTCTGGGACAAGGCCACAGGAAGGTCAGGACCCAGGGACAAATCAGCTGTAGAGAGCTAAGAAACCAAGGCTGGCCCTGAGGGATCTGGACCACCATTGTGGTCCTTAGAGCAGTTTGGAGCCCCGAGGATCAACCGTGAAGAGGGTTCAGAGTATAGACAGGCTTCAGGACAAATAGAATCAAAGGTGGGTCGCTTTAGGGTGTAAGCCTTGGGGCTGAACGACGAAGGAGGTCCTCAGGGAGTACATGGATAATAGTTGGGACTTCTTGACAGGGGGTCTTGGAACTCCAGATATATCGACCCCAAAATCTGAAAAAAATCACTAGACACTGGGGATCCAGGAGTGGCCCAGATCTACCCAGTCCACACTGGACCTTTTCGGTGAAGTGCTTACATGTGGGTTCCTGGTTACTTGAGCCCGAGGATTCAAACCCTGCACTTCACACAAGTCCCTGATCACCTCGATGTTATGGAGTGGGTGAGGATCTAAGGATAGTTACAAGGCAAAGTTGGAGCTTATCCTGGCTCCAAGGATTCGAGTATCAAGGGCATGCCCTAGCCTCCAAGTTGCCTCCCCTGCCCTCCCCAGCTCCTACAGGACCGAACCTTTTCCTAGTCTTGGCCACAGGTCACTGGCTGCACCTACTTGAGGGTGTGTACAGAGGCTAGAGGTGTAGCCAGTGGGGAGGAGGCTCTGGAGGAGTCGATAGGAAGGTGAGGTTAATGGGCAGAGGATTGAGGGGGCTGTTGCGTGGATGAGCACCTAGTACCCCGTCTCCTGTTTCACCCCTAAGAAGGGAAGCATTAGAGGACCTTGGGAACAGGTTTTTGTTTCTCTGAAATCTTTCCAGTCAGTCTGTCACGGGGAACACAATGTTTGTGGAAGAGTGAGATGTGTGTTTGCTGCTGTGGGAGACAGTAACAGTGTGCTGCTGTTGACTAGGGCTAGTACTGAGGTGTCCACTGAAAACCTGATTTATTTCAAGATGAAAAGCCGGGGCGGGGGTTTCTGGAGTGTCCTAGCTCCCACACAGTGGGCGTGTTCCCTTGTAGAAGCTCTGCTTGGTCAGGCTGGATTTAAAAGTGCTGGCTACAGGGTGAGTCTAAACTCTGGACTGTTTAGATTTCCAGGAGATACTTGAATCGGTCAGTTCCATGTTTCATTTTGAACCACTTTACTTCTTGGTTGCTGGTTAAGAACAAGTCTGGCTTCCTTAGCACTGATGTCAACTGAGTTGTGCTCCTGAAATGGAAAGTTGTGTTTGCCAAGAGTTCCTACCCTTGAGACCCTTGTACCCAGAGCTTGCTGCTGGTTTGTTCTTTGGTTGTGCCCTTTACCGTATTTTCTTGCGTGAACTTTTAGGAAAGAATGAGAATTTGTCTAGGTTCGAAGATGCACTCCTTCTTCCCATGCTTGAACTTTTAAACATAGAGCAGCGTTGAAGGGTTGGCGTTATTCATGTGTTGCTGTACAGCATATTTTACCCCCAGAATGCAGTGACCTGAGCCAAAAAAAATTGATTCTAGTAGAAGGGGGAAGAGCCCAGGCCTGACCTTGCAGGTCTTGCGGCCAAGTTCCATGGGCCTGTAGTCAGGCCTCCTTTGGGGGGTCCCACGGGAAGTCTCCCAATCCAGGCTCCCTTCTACATTGCCAGCCGGAGACCCAGTTCTTTTCCTGGGGCATCTCAAAAGGACAGTGGAGAAGGGGCCAATGATAGAGCAAGGCAGCCTCTACAGTGTACCCCTGCAGGTGGTGTGCCATTACTTCTGCTGAATTGCTTTTTAAGAATGACACAAGACCCTGTGCACACTCAGGAATAGAAAATCCCACAAAGTGGGTATACCAGAAGGTGGGAATCAGGCTTTGCAATATTGCTGTCAGCCAGGCACTTATCAAGTTTTAAGTATCATATTGCCCATACCCAAGACAATTTCTTAAGTAAATTAAGAGTTATGTGTAGCTCTAGACATGGTAGCCCACACTTATAATCCTAGCACTTGGGAGCTGAGACAGAAGGATTGCAGTGAGTTTGAGTTTGAGGGCAAACCTGAGCTACAGTAGTGAATTCCAGGCCCACTTTGGGCTGCAGAGTGTGATCCTATCTTAGTAACAAAAATAGTTGTGTGCAGAGTGGTGTGTTAGAATGAGGCCAATAAATAACATGTCTGATGTCACTGTAAAAGTTCAGACGATGGTGGTGCATATACATATCTTATTTACGAGGCATCTGTTACAAACAGGAAATGTTCCTGTTAGTTAACTTACAATTTAGAAATGCTCTGGCAAACAGACCCCTGTGGACAAATTGTAGTGTGGGGGCATAGTGTCTAATCTCTGGGCGAGGGATTTCAAGTATTCTGAAAACCCTGCAGTGTTATTCTGAAATAAGTTATAAACCAACCTTCTAGTTTTTCTTAGCCATCTTAAATAAAAGTGTCTTTCCTGGTACATTGGACCCCATGCACTTGGTTGTAAGTGGCCTTTTGAAAATAGTGTGTAAGATGTGAGATTCTGAAAAGGTTGGGATATTTGTCCCTTGAGGGAATACTGTGCTCAGAGATGCCCCACAGACAGGAACTCCTTTTCCCCAGCCCAGGTCCTGTGAGTAGGCCTGGAGGATGGCTCAGGGAACTTTGCTAAAGTCACTCTGGATATTCTTGCCCCTGATGGCCACCTCCCCATCATTTCTGGACTTTGGGAGGTTCCACCTCAAAAGGGTCATTGGCTAGAATTGTTGGAGTTTATTTGTGCTTTAGAACAAGGTTTGTTTGGGTCTGTGTTGTTATTCCTTAATGACCAGATGTATTTTTTGCTGCCTTGTTTGTTTGATGTTCAGAATTGGATTTAAAGTTGAAGTTGTAATTTTTCTTTATTTAGAAAGTTGAAGGTCAGTTTCCTGTTGTCTGTTGTTACCCTAACAATCTTGCCATTCATATTGCAAGAATGATGCACAATACATTATGCTTCAAAAACTGGAACTATTCCTTAGTACTCTGAGTTGATTATTCCTTAAATTTATCTGGGTATGGTAAATATACCAATAAACCTTGCTAGTACTCACAAGACTGAGACAAGAAACTAAGAAGTTGGAGACCAGTCTGGGCAACAGTGTAACCTGATTCAAAAAATAAACTAATCAATCTCAAAGATAGACGAAGCCTTTAAAAATAAGAAAACACTCTTCTCTGCCACGTACCTTTTTACAGATTTAAATTGTACAAAAGCCAAAAGGGTAGGGGTAGTTATAAGCTTGACCCATTTTTTTTGTTGTAGACCACCCATGGAATTGAGCAGACTCCCCCTGACAGGAGCAGCTCTTGCTGGAGATGCTGTCTCTCTCGGCCTGTTGTTGACTATGTTGTATTAAGCTGACTTCAAGAATGGAGGTTAGCCGGGCGGTGGTGGCGTACGCCTTTAATCCCAGCACTCGGGAGGCAGAGGCAGGCGGATCTCTGTGAGTTCGAGGCCGGGCTGGACCGACAGCCTCCAAAACAATACAGAGAAACCCTGTCTCGTAAAAACCAAAAAAAAAAAAAAAAAAAAAAAAGAATGGAGGTTAATTGGATTTTTCTTTTTGAAAGTTCATTGGTAGTTGGTGGACTTTGCTATATTATTGGGTAATCCTACAGTAAGAAGCATATAAATGGTGAGATGTTCATAAGCTTCTCCAAAGTCCCTGATCAACCCCCCCCCGTCTGCGTGGGTCTCAGTCTTGGTGGCAAGTGCCTTTACCTCCTGAGCTGTCTCACCAGCCACCACCTTTGCTTTTTTATCTAAGTGTTTGCCAGAGCAAACAACAACAACAAAAAAACTCAAACACAAAACCCTAGTGGAACAAAAACGCAAGAACTATAATCAGTGGTCGTCTGCAGTGTTGTTTTCATTCCTCCCTGTTTTTAGGTTGACGTTGTTAACTCAGAGATGATTACATGAGAAGTGAGTTTTTAGGGGGACTCTGTCCTCAAAAACAGAATAAATGCCTTATCAAAAATCCTGAGAGCTCTTCCAGTCTTCCTACTTCAAAGGACTTGGCGTGGGACTGGGTCTGAACAAGCCACAAGTCTACTGTACCCTAGCTGCCACTGCTGAGGAGTAAACTTAGGTTGCTCATAGGCCTCCCATTATAAGGTATTTGTGACAGCAGCTTACAGTCTAGGGTAGGACACAGTTTTCTACTTTATAATATCTTTTTTCAATATATTTTTTATTTAAATTAGAAACATGCTTGCTTC